ATAAATAAATTAAAAAAAAAAGTAACACATTCATCTGTCGCCCAGACAGTAAAGGAAGGCCCTTCCTCCCTGTGCATGGCTCTGCTCAAAGCAGGGCGCAGAGCGAGGCAGGTTCTAGGTATACACTGGCGGGCGGAGTGACCAGCATCAGCACTCCCACCCATCACTTGTTTCCTGTTCATCACTCAGAGCATGAAGCCAGGTATGGTGGGGCGCGCCTGCAATCTCAGTACACGGGAGGCTGAGGCAGGAGGATCGCTTCAGTTCAAAGCCAAGATGGGCTCCACAGTGAGCTCAAGCCAGACTACGTAGCAAGACTCTGTCTCCAAAGTACACACAAAGCAAAACCTATCACAATGAACTTTCTTCCTTCTTTTCTTCCTTCCTGGGGCTGAGGGTATCTCAGGAGTTGCTAAGACCCCAAACCTTGCTGAGCCTGGTGGCAAACGCCTGTAATCCCAGCACTTGGGAGGCTGAGGCAGGAGGACTGCTATAAGTTCACTAGCCTGAGCCACACTACAGTGAGCTCGAGGCATGCCTGTTTAGCATGACTGTCTCGAAAAGACCCTCCCCCCAAAAAGGGACCTCAATCCTTTAAGACTCCAAGGTTCTGAGGTGAAACTTGGTTTGAGAGTCTCAGGGAGCCCCTCTCACTCGAGGCCCAGGTCTCCTGGAGTCCACCCCGCCATCCCGGCTCTCAGGGGCTGCTACAGACGCAACGGAAGGTGGTCTGGCTGCTGTCTGAGCAGGCAGCAGCCGTGGCGTCATCCATGGGGGATCTTTTTTCAGGAATAGAGAAGGCAGAGTTGTGCAGTCAGGGAAGCTCCCGTCTGGACTTCAGAAGAATGGCTGTCACGAGGCTGAGGCAGGAGGACTGCTATAAGTTCGAGGCCAGCCAGAATGACACAGTGAATTCAAGGCCAGCCTGAATTACAGTGACACCCTGTCTCAACATAGGGGGTGGGGGGAGGCCAGGAAGCGTGGCCCTGAGAAGGAACGCCTGCTGCACCGGCCACATGCAGGGAGCAGAGGCAGGAGGGCTGCAGCTGGCGATGCTCCAGGGTGGAGCTCACCTCCTGCCACCACTTGCCTCAGGGGTCGGACACAGCTACAGAATTTAATGTCTGCCTTTCTGGGCTGAAGTCTTACTTCGGCCGTGTTTCTTTCTGTCCCCTTTCCCTTTCAGCATGCAACCTGTACCTGGTGCCGCTGCACACTGGCAGTGTGGAATTTTCTTCTTGGTTTTACAAGAGCTTACAGCTGAGACTTGCCTTGCGCCCCAGAGAGAGGCTGGACTTTTCCATAGTGTCAGCGCTGTAAGGACCTCAGGAGCCGTTAGAGATGGAGTAAATGCACCTTATGGAAAGAGACAGCTATGCGGCTTCAGGAGGCTGGGGCAAGGCACTAAGGTTTAGATCCAGACTGCCCTGAAAAGAGCCGCGCGTTCAAACGTGGGGCTTTCTGCAGGTGAATGGATGACAGCCGCCGCCGCCGACTAGCTGTTAGGAGGCAGGGCTGGGACAAGGGTGCGCACTCGGGTATGCCACGGAAGGGTGCATTCCTGTCCCCAGATCCTCCCTTCTGTCTACTTTGAGGCCAGGCTGAGAGCAGCTTTCCTCTGCCAGGCCCTTCTGCCTCGCAGCATCAACGACAGACGGAATCCTCTAAAAAGAGGGAGCCAAAGCAAGCCTCTCCTCCTCCACGCTGTGGGTCTGGGTGCACTGTCCCAGTGACAAACGAGAGAGCAGGTAAGGCCTGGCTCCGCCTCTGGCTTTTTCCTAAATCCAATAAGGTTTTGGGAAGGTCCTTGTGACAGTGAAATAAGGCAGCTAGCTAGGTCTCTTGAGACCAACTTGCTACAAGAGTACACTCAGTCAGCACGCTGGGGAAGGAAACTATCCCACGCAAGCTGATCCGCCTGCCTGGCAGCTTTAAGTGCGTCCTTCCTAGCACCTCACTCAGCTCCCTCCCCTTTGCCACGGCGGACTGTCTAGTGTGAAGTTATCCGGCCACTGTTCCCCTTCCTCCTCGCCTCTCTACCAAACGTGGGACGGCAAGAAGAATAGGCACTCTGTTCTGCCAACTTCATAGTGTGGCCAGAAGCTCTGGGACGTTCTCGTGAGTCTACCGCGCTGCCTCACTCACTGGACGGCCAAGAGCCAGACCTGCACCCGGGAAATGTCAGTGGACATTACCGCGGCTCACCTTGCTCTCTGAATTCTTTAAAGCGCTCCAGGTCATCGTGGTACATGCGCTTAATTGTCGTGGCCGCCCTTTGCTTTATGTCAGGAATGAACTCCTGGAGCTGCCTCACAGCAGCATGCAGATCCACATCTGAATGGTCGGAATCTCTCCCATCTTCAGATTCCAATCTTACAGACTCACCAGCCAATTCCACATTGCTTTCTTCTTCATCTGGCGGTTCTGACCTACAATAGAAAACTGGTTAACATTAATGACCACTTAACCTATCAGCTTTTTTAAAAAAATGTATTTGGTACAGGGTCTCACTAGGCAGCTCGGACTTGTAGTGATCCTCCCATTTTCAGCCTCCCCGGGGCTGGAATTACAGGCGCGTGTCACCTAGCCTGGTCTAGATGGCCAGCTCAGCGTGCCTGGCGCGGCCTGTGGCACCGGGGATAGAACCCTGTCCCTGCCCTTGCCTAAGCAGGCACTTAGTCTGCTGAACTATCTCGCTGGCCCTGACCTAACAGCTTTTACACTAATTTCCTAAATGCCGCCCCCTTGGAGTGTTCACGCTGGATGGGATGCTGGGGTTCAGTCTGTGATTTTCAGACCCTTCATTGTAATCAGGTTTGTTCCTTTGAACGCATTTCCCAACTGGCCTAACAGATAACACAGGCCCTAAGCACTATTTTCACTGCTTATTTCTTTACATTACTTTCATCTTTTTTGGTCTTTATTCCTACAGAGAATCAGATATTCCTAACCTTTCCAATGAGTTACATTTTATAACAGGTCAGCAATTAAATCAATATTCTGGGTTTTACACAATTATAGTTGTTTTTGCTACAGATTCTAAAGGTTTCTTTTCTCCTTGACTTACTTTCTGTGTCTCAGTCTTAAGTCCCCCCTTGGGTCTCTTCCACCTAAGGCTGCTCTTTGGATGCCCCGGAATCCCAAGATGGTCTAGGATTGGTCGCCACATAGACTCCACGCATCTGTTGGAGCAAAGCATCAGAGCTTCCCAAGGGCCACGCCCCACTGAAAGTGGAGCCCCGCTGTGCTAGCATAGTTAAGCATCCTGAAAATACCCCTATAAGACAGCACAGAGGACGGGGCAAGTGGCCCACTGCAATTATCAACTCTAACTGACTTGCCCTCCATTAACTTCCATGTGGAACTACGTCAAGCCAGGACAACCTAACACATAAGAGTCACTGAACAAAAATGGGTGGTTGTTTTGCAGAAGCGGGGATTGAATTCAGGCCCCTGCTTTTGGCCAGGGAAGCGCTTATTGTACTGAGCTATCTCCCCGGCCAAAAGTGGGGACAAAATCTGTCCTGAGCTGCGGGAACTATGAAATGCAAGTAGGGCCTGAGATATAGCTCAGCAGTGTAGCGCCTGCCTGGCAAGCTCAAGGTCCTGAGTTTGAGTCCTGGTACCTCCCCAATCCAAACAAAATGGAGGTAGTTAAAAAAAAAAAAAAAATAGCCCTTGTATTAATTCATCAGACGATCTACTTAAATACGCTCACCGTGCCCGCATTACCTCCACGCGTCTTCCACGCGCTTCCCTCCTGAAGAGGCCTGGCTTTCCTCCTCCTGGGTTTTCTCCTTCACAGTTTCCTCAACCAAGACACAGCTGCCAGCTGCTGAGTCAGGGAGTGGATTCGCACAGTGCTCAGCGCATCTCCAGGGGTCATCACCACATGCCAAGGTGCTCTGCACAGACACACGCTTCCTCTTCTTAGAACGGTTCTTTACCTTGACCCTTTTAAACAGATCACAGCCTTCTCTCGCCCTGACCCTGCAGAGCCCCTGCGATTCCTCAGGGAGCTCGTGACCAGGACTCTCAGGTCTGGTCAAGGTCCCCAGTTCCTGGGGACTGGACAATTTCTTTTTTTTCTTAGCCTTCTTTTTCTTGGCAGATTTTGGCAGCTCTGTGATCTCACCTTCTCGATCCACAGACAGCAAGGGCAGGTGCTTGCGGGACTCCTTCTGGGGCCTGCGTTTCACATTTCCTGCAGTCCAGGTGGGACTGTCTTGTTCCGAGTGCAACAGCGTGTTCTCAGGCTCCTCCGCATGCCCCGGGACGTCATCACCAGATGCCTCGGCGCTCTCCACAGACACACGCTTCCTTTTCTTACATTTTTTCTTTATACTTTGGGATTCCTTGGTCCTTTTAAGTGCACCATTGCCTTCCCTGGCCCTGACCCTGCCGACCCCTTGCGATTCCTCAGGGAGCTCGTGACCAGGACTCTCAGGCCTGGTCAAGGACCCTGGTCCCTGGTTCCTGAACAATTTCTTCTTAGCCTTCTTTTTATCAACAGATTCTGGTAGCTCTGTGATTTCACCTTCTCGATCTACAGACAGCAAGGACGGCTGCTCCTGTGACCCCAGCTGGGGCTGAGAGACAGTGTCAGGCTGGCTTTCCCTCCTAGCATCCCAGGATTTGGTTTTCCTCTGATAGTTTTTATTCTTCTTCCTCCCAACTTCATTACACAGTTCTACTGGCTCACTTCTATTTGAGTCAGCAATGAAATGCAGCCTGTCTGTTTTACGACCTTCCGCTGACTTTTGCGCCTCGCTTGCATCAACATAAATGACATCCGCGTCCTTCTTAAAATCCTTCGGCATGTTCTCAATATTTTCTTTACCCACAAAGACACACATAACATCTGCTTCTCTGTCTACCCTCAAAGTGCTATTTATCTTCTTTTTATTTATAGAAGCAGCTTTTTCACTCTTAGCGAAGGTTTCTGGTATTTTCAGAGAAGAAACGAGAAGCTGGAAATCCTTCCTTTTTTTCTTACTTATTTGAGGGTGGTCACTTGCCAGAGTGATGTCTCTGAAACTTTCGTGGGCTTGTTTCTGGGGTCTTTCTTTATATACAGAGTACTTCTTGTCAAAAATGGGAGTGAGGATGTCAAATCTGCTTGATTCTATTTCCATTTTATGCCTATAGAGAAATGTGACTATAGTTTATTTTTGCATTTTAAACACTGGGGGGAGGGCAAATCACAGCAAAATTGAACTGCATAACAAATGCCAAACCAATAGTCGCAATTATACATTTTATACTGTATTATGTAAAATGCACAAGTGAAACAGTGGAATCCCCTCCTTCCCTAGGCCCACTGATAAAAATGTACTTTCATAGCAAATTATGCTTCTATTTTGTAGCACTGAGCTCAATTTCAAAAATAAAACAACTTAACCAGTCATTTAATGTGAGTCCCTTGCAAAAGCCAAATTCCAAACAGGAAGGCAGTATCTGCCTCACCCAACCCCTTCTCATCTCCTAAAGCTACACCCCGGGCTCCACTTGCAGAGATGGCAGGGGGGTTCCTTCCTGGGACATGAAGTATGCAGGGACACAAACGGGGGGGGGGGGGGGTCAGTTCTTTAAGAGGGCAGACACATATTGTTAGTGTCTGACAGAGTGAAATGCCACAGTACATAAAGCTCTAGTGTAAGGGGCCGGGGAGATGGCTCAGTGGGATAAGTGCTTCCCTGGCAAGCACAAGGGCCTGAGTTCAGTCCCCGGTTCCCCCCCCCCCTCAAGCTCTAGTGTTAATACTAATATGTCACATGCATTTTGGATTTGCTTTTTTATTTTTTTATTTATGTATCTGGTACAGAGTCATACTATGCAGCTTGAACTCACAGTGATCCTCCTGTTTTCAGCCTCCCCAGTGCTGGGATTACAGGCATGTACCACCACGCTTAGACTTGGTAGCTAGCTCAGCTGCCCAGGGGTGGGGCCAACGAGGCTTGTGCTGCAGGGATCGAACCGTCCCCGCACTTGCCCTCAGGTACTTAGTCCATTGAGCTATCTTGTCGGCCCTCGGTTCAAATTTTTAATTTTTTTTCTTGGTGGAACCAGAGATTGAACTCAGGCCCTTGTACTTGCCAGGCAAGCGCTTATTTCACGAGCCAGCTCCCCGGCCCCCAAATTTTTAAAGTTTATATGTCTTTGACTAGGAAATACACATTTATATGTCTCAAAAGATCTAACAAGTCTACTCTTATTTCCTTTCCTTGTCCCTGACATACTCCAATCTGTAGGCAACGTTTCCACAAACAAGAATCCTGGAACTCACAAGCCTGAATGCTATATATACTTCTGGCAAAAACACGCAATGTATCCTGCGTGTATCCAATAGTACTATGTGGCTACTCTAAGACCTGTGTTGCTGTAGAGAAGAGGATGTGAAAGAAAATCTGAGTAAGTAACTACCAGGCAGGTCCCGCAGCCCAGACGCCTCACCTTTGATGAGGGCATCCAGAGCTCTGGGTGAGACCGTTATCCCTGATATCATCCACCTTGCATGAACCCAGAACTCAGAGCCACAGAGAGGCCTCTCTGTAACCTCAGCTACAGACTGAGGGATCTCACTTGACTGCCTAATCAGGAGGGTCTAGCAGAACGGGTCTTACGCTTTCTATAGCTCTGACTCCTAGCACTATGTGTGGCCCTAAGAGCTCAGTAAGTATCTTTGCCTCCCCTCAAGCTGCTGAGAAAAGCTAGAGAAAAAAATGTTCACGCCTGGGCAGATGAGCACCACTCTAGACACCTGGTTCTTTTCTTCTTTTTTGCGGAACCGGGGATTGAACTCAGGCCCTTGCGCTTACCAGAGAAGCGCTTATTCCACTGAGCCAGCTCCCCGGCCCGACACCTGGTTCTTGACTACAGCTCAGAACCAAATACTATGAACTCTTCCTTTAGATCTGCGTAGTCCCGTGGGGTTAGCAGTTCCATGGGGTTAGCAGTCCCGTGGGGTTAGCAGTCCCGTAGGGTTAGCAGTCCCATGGGGTTAGCAGTCCCATGGGGTTAGCAGTCCCAAGGGGTTAGCAGTCCCATGGGGTTAGCAGTTCCAAGGGGTTAGCAGTCCCATGGGGTTAGCAGCCCCATGGGGTTAGCAGTCATGTGGGACAAATAAGCACCTGAAATGCAGCCAAGACCAACTGCAGCCTGCTGTAAAATGCACATTGCATTTGGAAGACTTCAAATAAAGAAGATGAAACATCTCAATACTTTTTATATGCTGACTTCATATTGAGATCATATGGGGGGCCGGGGAGATGGCTCAGCAGAACAGCACTTCCCTGGCAAGTACAAGGGCCTGAGTTCAATCCCCGGTTCCGCAAAAAAAAAAAAAAAAAAAGAAAGAAAAAAAGAGAGACAGAGATCATATTGGATACAAGGCTAGGCAAAGTGCACTCCCAATTCTGCCTGTTCTTTGAAAACTTTTTAACATCTCTCCCAGCAAATTTTAAACTACATATGCAGCCTTGCACCATTCCCTTCTTCTTGAAGCAGTAACTATTTCAAATTCCTTTACTTCATTTTAGATTAAGTGTGTTTCTTTCTTTTTTTTTTTAAGTGTGTTTCTTATATGCAGCATATTCCTGGACCTTGCTTCCTAATCCATTCTACCAGTCTGCATCTTCTGATTGGTGAAACAAATTTCCTTTACTTCAAAGAACTTTGGGGGCCTGGGGAGAAGGCTCAGTGGAATAAGCGCTTCCTCGGAATGCGCAAGGGCCTGAGTTCAATCCCGGTTCCGCCAAAAAAAAAAAAAAGTTGTGAATCAAAGAACTTCCGAATGTCATTCTCTCTCTAACTTGCGGCTAGGAGCTTGCCTACAAGACAAGAAAGAGCTTGTGCTCAGTCAAGCACACCTGCTTCCACCTTCTCCTCGTCTTGCTGCAATGACGTACCCCTCTCCCCGAAGGTCATTTCCTTTGGCAGTGTGCTGACCCCAGCCCCTGCCTCTCTCTCTGAGTGACCTATCAGCTACCTCCTCTCCACCACAGTGCTGGCTCCTTTGCTGCAACACTAACAATCTTCAGTCTTTTCTACCTAAAAAATAAAGATAAAAAAGCAGCCGTCCTCTAACCCTCCAGTACCACCGTTATTCCCCTTCTCCCTTCGTAACATTTCTTGAGAGAGAAAATGCTCTATTTCCTCCCCTTCCAGTTCTCCTTTTTGAGGAACTGCAGACAGAACCCACAGAACTGCATCGCTGGCCCTCCCCTCTTTCTCACTTTTTATTTTGACACAAGGTCTCAAAGTTACCCTTGGGGCCTGTGAGACAGCTCAGTGGTCCAAAGAGCTGGCTTAGGCAGGCTTAGGCAAAACACAAGGACCATGGTTCACGAAGTTACCCAAGTGGGACTCAAACTTGTGACTCTCCTGCTTCAGCCAGAGTGCTGAGACCACAGGATGTGCTGGGCTCCATCCAGTTCTTAACTCACATCTTTGTAGCTTGGCCTCAGCACTCCCCTGGCAGTGCTTTAAGAAAAATGCCTGTGACCTTCCAGTCACTAAATAGGATACATGCAGTTCATGATCCCGTAACAGCAATGAAAAAAAAAATTTTAAATACTCTTACCTGCCATCAGTTTCTTTCTTCTTTTTCTTTGTCTTGTAAGCACCTTTTAAAGCTATCCATCTGGCCTTTCCAGTTTTTAGAACCTTCAAAACACAGAGATATTCTCTATAGTTCTTCATTATTAAGATAAAAATCAAGGGCCGGGGAGATAGCTCAGTAGAGCAAGCGCAGGTACTGAGTTCAATCCCCGGTATCGTAAGAAAAAAAAAAAAAAAGGTATAGGCAAAATCCTTACAGCCCGAGGCCAAGCCTGCTTCAGTCTGCAGGACCCGGTCCGGTTCCGGTCTGCCTCCGTCTCCATCCTCTACCTGCGCTCCACACACCCTGCCTTCCTTCAGGTCCTAGAACACGTTGCGCTCCTCTTCCTACCAGGCACCGTGCAAGGGCAGCCCGGACGCTCTCCCGTCCCGTCCCGTCCCGTCTGCGCCCGTGAGCTGCCCTCCGCGCGAACCCACTTTCTCCAGGGTCTTACCTCCTTCCTTATACAGAGCTGGCCCAACAACCCGGCTCTTCCCCCACGCTCTGTCCGCGATCGCGGTGAGTGAGGGTCGGCCTCTGAAGACCAGGGTGCCACCTAGCTTGTGCCCGGTCCCTCAGGTGGCGCCTCACCCCAGGAGGGGACGCGCGTGTCCCCACCTGTTGGACACACACTTCCGCCCTGCAGGCTCCGTGCTCAAGCCGGCCCGGCCCCTCTCCCTCGCCCCGGGGTGGGCGCTCTGGAGCTGACGAGGGAGACCTAACCAGACGCCAACTCCCTAACCTACCCCGGCATTCCAAAGTCCCACGCCGCGGTTCTGGGGCGGTGCGACCCGCGGCGGCAGCGCAGGCCGAGGCGCCAATCCCGCCCTGGAGACCGCAGACCAACGGCGGGCCTCCCCAAAGGCGAAAGCGCGCTGCTCGGCTTCTACACCACCTCCCAAAACACGCGAGTAAAAAATAAGCGCCCTTCCAACCTACCCAGCAAGAAACTTCGCCTCCAACCTCCCAAGCACAAGTCTCGCGGTCGGAAGCGGAAGTGGCGCGTCACTTCCGGCCGAGGGGATCCGCTGCCATAGCAACCCGTCCGCCGGCCGGACCCGGCGCATGCGTAGCTGCCCGCGGGTGTTGCGGGGGAGGCGTGGCTAGAGTGAAGGGAAAGTGCTCTAAAACTAAAAAAAGGGGACGGACTTCTGCCGTTACTTTGTTAACCCGTGCAAACATTCAATTTATTCACTTTTTGCTGAGCCCCCTCTGTGGTGTGGGAGTAAGCAGCCCAGGGAAGACAGATGAACAAATCAATCAAGATAATTTTATTTTTAAATTTTATTTATTTGGGTATGTGTGTGTGGCCAGCTCAGCCCACCAGGGGGCGGGGCTGGCTGGCTTGTGGTGCTGGCGGATTGAACCGCGGTCCCTGTGCTTTGCTGAGCTTGTTCTAAGTAGGTGCTTTAGACCACTGAGCCATCTCATCAACCCTCAAGATAATTTTAGATGATCCTATAAAAAACTAACGCGATGGAGAATGCCTGGGGACAATGGATCCTACTTTAGAGGAAGAGAACGCTCTTTGAGGAGTTTTCTAAGTGAATAAGGCAAGCAAAAATTAGGCAGACGAGAGAGCCAGGTTGGAAGAGAGGCAAAGGATTTGACTCCGCTCCCCGAGGAACCGAAAGAAGGGAGATGGCATCAGGGGCAGGCAGGGCCACCCGGTGCGGGGCCTGGTGCACGCTGAGCTGGACGAAGTCTCACAAGGCCAGGGAGACCTAGTTTTGGGGGGTCGGTGCCTCAGCTGTGATGTGTAGTCTTTTATGCCCTCGGAAGTCACAGCCTGGTGCACCCCGCCAGCAGTGTGGCGCACGCTCCCCACGCTGCCGCCTCTCGCTCGCGTGTAGTTGGGAGCTGGAGGGTGGACGGAGCAGCTGCGCTCTGCCACGTTGCTTGAAAGGCCGCGCCTCGGCGCCTGGGCTAGTCTGATCCGCCTTGCTCAGAGCCAGTTGCAGGGATAAAGAAAAGTCCTAGCCAGCTCTGTACCCACCAGTACATGGAAATAGGCACAAATTCGGCCAAAATGGTGACAGCTGCTCCTCCGGCAAGGAGCGCCACCCAGGGGGTCCTCCACATTCGTGTAGTATTGTCCATTGCGGGTGTGTAAAGCCCTGAAATCCAGACCGCTTGTCAGCGCAGCTTGCTCTGTAGCAACCCCAGATGGTGTAGGCGGACGTCGGCATGACATTGACACAGGCAACAACGATCTCGGGGTGGACGACCTCCAAATGACATAGAGGAAAAGTGATCTCCTGACCTGAAAGGCATCTGGGACGAGTTCATGTTCTCTAAAACCTAAGAATAATTTTAGGAACAAACGGAGGTTATGAGCAGAATAGATTTCTTGAAGAAAAGAAAGCTCCTGTCCGAGAAAGGGCGCGGGGGGGGGGGGAGCGGGTGGTCCCTGGGAAACGGTCTCTTCCAGGGACTTTTTTTTTCCCCCGCTATGTGCCTGATGATCTTGTTGGTAAGAAAAATGACAAGTAAACCAGTGCAGTATGATTGTAGGTTTCCAAAGCAAAGAGAAAGGCGAATGGTGAGGGACGGATGTGGAGGGAGGCGGCACTATGCTAATCTTCCAGGGACTTTTATAAAGTAAAACCATGCGGTGTGGCGGGTCTGAGGTGGCGAACACGGGAACTCGCTTAGGTGGGCCTGAGCTTACAAACACCACTGCTCAGGTGAAATTGATTAAATTGGGATCAAATGGGAAAGCAAGTTAGGTAGCAAGGGGGCAAGAATACAGTACAAGGTGTCTTTCTGTTGGGGTTGGGCTAGTGACTCTGACTTTCCAAGGTGATTGATACCTATTTACCATATCAATCCCTGATGTCCATCCCTAGGGAAGTTTTTTGTTTTTGGTTTTTGGTGGAACCGGGGATTGAACTCAGGCCCTTGTGCTTGCCAGGCAAGCGCTTATTCTACTGAGCCCTCTCCCCGGCCACCCTAGGGAAGTATGGTTCCTCTTTGTCTTAAGGTCTGGCCCACAGCAGGGAGTGTCTGTCTCTTCCAATTTGCAAAGTCACCTGGTCTTCCATCTTGTCTCCTTGAGGGCCTGGCCCTGCCTGCCTGCCTATATTTCTATCTAATTCAGCTGCCTACAACAATATGATGGACGTAGGAACCCACAAAAGTTCAGAACTGGGAGGAAAATTAGAGGTCCTCCAGGCTAGTGGTTCCAAAGTCATTGTACAAATCGCATAGCAAGCTTCTTTTTTTTGGCTGGCTCAGCCTGCCCTGGCATGTGGTGCGGGGATCTAACCATGGTCCCCTGCACCTGCCTAAGCTTGCTGAAGCAGCCACTTTAGACTGCTGAGCTATCTCGCTGGCCCCAACGTAGCAAGCTTTTAAAAAACATAGATTCTCAACTTTGCACACGAACCATGTATTAGATGCTATCACTGCATCACTGTGGAATCTTTGGAGAAGATAAGGACATTGCGGCCAGGAGTGAGGATGTCCTCCATACACGATGAACTATTTAGGGCCAAACTTGATGTTGTTTGAGATATTTTCAAATGGCCCAGCAACGCAGGTGTGTCAGTGCACACGCTCACATGTGCAAGCTAGTGTAGCAAGTGTGAGGATTGATGAACCTTGGTGATATTTGTAGGTGTAAAACACTCCTTTCAAATTTTCTGTAGTTTTGAGCTTTTTTAAAAAGTTGTGGTGGGGAAGAGGTTTATAGGATGGGAGTCCCAGATGCCCTTTTCAGATATCCTGATTGGATGAGTCTGGGTGGATCCTGTGACTGAATTTTTCACTTTCCCCTCTGTTCTGTTGCACAAAGCTGGATAACATTGACCTAATCCAACTTTAGACTTGCCTTTGCACCCATTTCACAGATGAAAACACTGTGGACCCAACAGGGTGATCGGCTTGAGATCATCCAGTGAGTTATCGGTAGCATCAGGACTGGAATGAGGATTTCTTTCTTTCTTTTCTTTTTTTTTTTTTTTTTCTTTTGGTGGAACCGGGGATTGAACCCAGGCCCTTGCACTTGCCAGGAAAGCACTTACTCTACTGAGCTATCTCCCCAGCCCAGGATTTCTATTCCATTGTGAAAGTTTTATCTCTACATCTCAGGAGTCTGGGAGTAGCGCAGGGAGCAGAGCAGGGAAGGAACCCTGGGTAGATGGAAAGTGGGTGGAAGGAGGACATCTTTGACTTGAAAGTCGGGCATAAGTGGTCCACTAGAACTCCATGGCTTCCACACAACTAGTGACAATTCTGAGATTTTCCTAGTGAGGTGGGCTAGAAGAGACAAAGATACATAGAAGGGAGACAAGGAATGGAAGGCAAGACAAGGAAAGGAGACAAGAGAAAGAAAATTTAACATTCTATTTTATTTTATGTATTTGTTACAGAGTCTCACTACGCAGCCCAGACTTAGCAAAGCAAAGGGACCAAGGTTCAATCCCCCAGCACCACAAGCCAGCCAGCCCCGCCCCCTGGTGGGCTGAGCTGGCCACACACACACACACACACACACACACGCAAATAAAAATTAAAAAAAAAAAAAGAAAACCTGCAGTTTTAGGTCACAAAAGTTATTTGTGCTTTTTTTCCCTCCCATGAAATTAACAAAACAAAACAAAACAAACCCAAGTGTCTTAAAGATGTGAGAAGCCTCCTTTTCACCAGTGAATTATGCTTTCTGCGAAGGGCAACAAGTGTGCCTCAGCCTCTAACACATTCTAACAGCCTGCCAGATGGGTAAACCTGGCAGACACCAGGAAGACGCAAGCAGGTCACCCATTAAAAAAAATATATATTATTTTGTATTTGGTACAAGGTCTCACTACACAGCTCAGACTCGAGGCGATCCTCCTGTCTCAGCCTCCCCAGTGCTGGGATTACAGGCGTGTGCTACCACACGGGGTTTTGGTGGCCAGCATGGTGCGCCAGGGGTTCTGGGACTGGCTTGGTACCCAGGTCCCTGGGGCCGGGGAGATGGCTCAGTAGAATAAGTGTTTGCCTGGCAAGCGCAAGGGCCTGAGTTCAATCCCCGGTTCTGCCCAAAACAAAAACCAACCAACCAACCAATCAAGCCCAGGTCCTCGCGCTTGCCAGGCAGGCGCTTAGACTGCCAAGCTATCTGCCCAGCTCCTAGGTCATCCGTCTTGAGGACACCCCCACGTCCACACGGAAGCCCCCAGCCGCTGGCCACACTGCATCTTTCTTTCTCTCTCTGGCCAGCACCCTATTTTCTCTGAGTGTGACTTTTAAGTTTGCCTGATAAACTTCTTTTTGCCTCTCACTAATGCATCTTGAAAATTCTTTTTTTCTGTGATGGAAGTTAAGGAACCCACCGCCTGCTGTACTCCGCTCTGAGGAGCCTCCTCGGACCCTATCCAATGACACTTAGGTAGATTTAAGACAATTCTGAAAAGCCCCACGTGGCCACTTGTGGCTAAGTTTCCAGCAAGAAAAACTATTGGCTAAGTTTGGACGCTGTTAGCGTCCCGTTGTCGTGGAGACGGACAGTTCCATTCATCCTCAGGGGGTGATTTTGATTTTCTTTCCACTCCTATTCCTCAGCGCTTGCACAAAAACAATACTCCTAGGAACCAGCGCAGCTTATTTGTATGCTCTTGAGGGTCCTTGCACCAAATGTTGTCGCGACACCTGTGCGCTCCTCTCCTGTGGTGGTCAGCATCCGGGATCCACCCTACGGTCCCGATGGTGTGGCCCAAAGGGAGGCCGGACTAGGGATCCCAGGAAGGGCTCTCTGCACCTACCTGGCGTCCGACTCCAGGGCGACCTCCAGGATGCCTGAGGCCGAGAGCTCTGGCAAAGACCCCACCCGATGGAAGAAGAAGAAGAAGCCGGTACGCCGCACTGTCAGCCAGATCTGCCCGCCGCCACGGCGGCCCCTGACCGTAGCCGACATCCGCCCGGGCATGGAGAACCAGCGGCTGGGGGTCGTGCGCGATTCCATGTTTCAAAACCCGCTCATCGTCAAGGTGAGCACGCCGCCACCGCCGCCCTTCGCGCCTGCACATCCACCGGCCCGGCCCCGGCCCATGGCCCTGGGTCCGAGGACAGAGTTGGAAATTGCGGTTCAGAGAACCTTGGGGCCCTCAGGCGGTCCGGTCCTGGGCCGGTTGCGTCGCCGCTCCCAGCCTGTTTCTTTATCTTCAGAGAGGGATGATAGGAGTGAGTACCCGGAACGAGAGTGCTGGGAATCCCGGGTTGGCTGCTGTGGTCTCCCCAAGAGCTGGCTAGTGAGGCCACAGGTGACCGAGAGATGGGTCCACACGCTCGGTCTCGCGTCCCTACCACCTGCTACCTGGGAGGTGGGTCCAGGCCGCCTAGCCTCTTTCTCCTGCACCCGGGGTAGTCCATGCAGCAGGTGCTACGCAGTTGTGGAAGCGTCCCTTCCCAACCACCCTTTTATCCAAATCACTACCCTAAAAGAAAACAAAAGCACGACTTTCTGGCCTCGGAGGCTTCGTCGGCCGGAGCAGCGGTTCGGATCCTTTCCAGAGGCGTTACTCCCTCTTATTGCCGGCTACCGCTCTCTAGTTTCGTTTTCCTCCTCGTAGGAGATCGCTCACCTTCCCTGCGGCGGTAGGAAAAGCCGGGTCCGGTTTGGCTGTGGGGAGGAGCCGTGGAGCAAACTTACCTGGTGCCACTGGAGGGCAGTGCGCTGTTAAAAATGCGCTGGGTTTCCAGGCGCGCGAGGGGCGGTGCCCGTGCCCGGAGAGGTTGGGTTGCTGGAGCCCAGACGTGGTGGTCGGCTGGCTTGTTGGCGGACAGAACTCGGGCTTCCTTCACGCCGAGCGAGGATGAGCTAAGTCTTCCTGGGAAGACACTCACTGTCCTCTTACGTTGCGGAAGACGTTCTGGTGACGGGGAAGGGAACCCAGGCCGCGGCGGGCCTCCGGGGGAGCTGGCGCGCACTCACGAAGGCCTTGACTTTTTTTTTTTTTTAGTGAGTTGGTGTGTGATGCCCCCCGAGTGAGAACATAGACCTATATCTTATCAATAGTATATACAAATGTCTGTGTGCACATATATGTATAACGTATATACGTACACGTGTAAAATGTCCTGCATAGTCCCACCTCTCGTAGTAGGGACATTTCGCCGCTGGGTGGCACCAGATACATGGCTTTGAGGATGGATTCCGTCCCTGGTTCCTGTCTTAGTACTTAGGGATTTAAAATGTCCAGGCAGTGACTGATGAATTATTGGGCTTCTGTCTTCAGGGCGTTGCAGGACCACACAGGTCCCTGGTGACAGACCCCAGTAGCAGATGTCCAGCCTGGGCTGTCTGGTGACAGAGCCTGGGGAGTCCTTCTCCTGCCAGGGGACACCTTGTCCCTCTGTCCTGGCATCTCAGAGCAGCAGAAGGCGCTTTCTGTAGCGCCAAAGATGATGTCTGCAGTTCAGTATTTAGCACCCCTGTAAGATCTTCTGTCAAAACCTGACCGAAATGGAAGTTGGCAGAGAAATTGAGCGTGCAGAGAAAGTGTCACGCTGCCTTTCCACAAGTGAGCCCGCGGGACCGTCTCTGCCAGGTGCTTTGCTCAGACTCCAGACTGGACTTGGTTAAGAGGCCGTGTCCTCCACCATGCCTACCACTCCAAATGACTTCCCATACATAAAGAAAATTCGCATTATGAAGCTTTAGAGGTTCTGGCTTTTAAGGACAAAGGGAACATTGAAAGTATTCAAGGTTGTGGAGCCCTAGCCATTTTTTTAAAAAAAATGTTACTGAAATCTCCATTGAGCCTGTGAATCTCTTCATTATAACTTTTTTTTTTTTTT